GGATGTAGGCTCCCTATTTACCTCTCTTATTGTTTCTCTTGCTGAGAAAAAAAACTTTTTAGTTTAAGTAAGTCCCATTTGTTGATTCTTGTTATTAACTCTTGTGCTATGGGTGTCCTATTAAGGAATTTGGAGCCTGACCCCACAATATGTAGATCGGAGCCAACTTTTTTTAAAGTTTTTTTTTTTTTAATTAATCTCCACTCTCATTATCTCCTTTCTTCTGTTAGTTTTTTGTTTAGGATGCTCTTAGCATGTTTAAGACAGTTGTTTTGAATTTTCTCTAGTCCAATGTCTAAGTTTCTTTAGGAACCATTTCTGTCAGTGTTTTGTTCTTTTGAATGGGCAATACCTCCCTGTTTCTTTGTATGCCTTGTAATTTTGTTGCTGAAAACTGGCCATTTCTACTTGTAGTATTTCTACTTGTAGTATGATTAAGTCTGGAAATCATATTTTTTCCTTTTTTTAGAGTTTGACTTCTTTTTTATTGCTCAATGCTGTAGCAGTTCATAACATTAACCAATTATTTTTGCAGAATGTATTGCCTTGTGTGGTCACTGAAGGCTCTCTTTCTTGTCTTGTGTTTTGATAGTGCTCCACAGAGATTTCCTTGAAAACTGTGAGCATTGTGGGTGTTTGGCACATGAGGGAAACAAAATAAAAATTTTTCTAATGTTTGCAATTTAGCTCTGTGTTGGTACTTCCCTTCAACACTAGCCGGTTTGCATTGAGCTGTGGGAGCACCTCCAAGTAAAAGYTTAGGGTCTTCTGTAGTCTTTTCTGAGCAAAAGTCTTACTTGGGCGTGTTTGTGGCCTTCTAAATTCTTCCTCAATTGTGAGTACTTCTGAATTTCCCAGAGAAACTCTCCTTTTTGGTATGTCTCAAGAGTAATCTTTTGTTCTATCCAATGTAGGTTATTAACCTTACAAAGTTTCAAGCAGTGCCCTCAACTTTTCTACGTAAGTAAGGGCCCTTAAATGAAACAGCCAAGCCGTTTGCATCAGTCCCAGTCAGGTTAGAATAGACATATATAACAGTTTGCAAATAAGGTCTTCTTGCTTCTTGTGTAGGTTGCCATTTTTGTGACTGCTACTGAGCAGGGAAGGGGACTGGCAAGGACAATTAAAACCACTACAGAAATTTCCTGCAGTTTTTTGGTTGCCTTTTCTGATTTTGCATATTCTTTTTTAAAAAATTTTATTTTTAAATTTTTGATTCGTGCATTATAATTACATATGAGCATACATGCATGGGATATAATWTGGTTCACTTCAGTTCCTAGTAACTTCCTCTTTCTATCCCCTCCTCACTTMTCCTGTTCCCCTTCCTCTGYTCTACTGATGTAGCATTTTCTTGATTGCTATAAACTTTTGACTTTTTTTTACAGAATTTAATATAGTTGATTATGACAGTTCTGCTTGCCTTAAAATGTTTTTGTCAGGTTTGAGCCTAGTGTTACATATTTTGTATTTTGCTGATGTCCCCTCTCTTTTTGACTTATGAACCATTGAAGTGTTAGATATGAGAGTAACTTTTATGTCAAGTGATATCAAAATTAGAAATGTAGAATAAAAATTATTTTTGAATGATTCTATTTCAAAGTACTTTTCTAGAACCTGGTTTTTTTTTTCTTTTTTTTTTCCTCTTAGGCCTTCAAATTTCATGGATGTGTCATTACGCAGCTTCTCTCTTTGTTGTGACCTGTTAGGTCAGGTTTGCCAAACAGCAGTGACTTACTGTAAAGATGCTTTAGAAAAGCATCTTCATGTTATTGTTGGTACACTTATACCCCTTGTGAATGATCAAGTGGAGGTTCAGGAGCAGGTAATTTTCTAATTCATCTTCAAAATGGTATTTGAGATATGTTGATAAATTATTATTTTTACTTGATACAGTTAGTAATTTTAATGAAAATGKTTTTTTAAGAAATAGTTGGGAAGACATTCTCAATTAATCTTTGTAATCAGTTACAAAGATTGATTACATATTTTTCTCTAATAAACAATTGTTTAGCTTGCTTTGTTACACTGAAGTGTAGAAGTAGTCAAAAATGGGATAATAGTTTATGCCGTTATGATTTTGTGTGATATATTACTTACATGAACTGTTTCACTAATCTGGGGATTTTTATATGTCAGTGACCACCTTGTATAGTCCCTTATATGTTTGTGGAATTGTTTGAAAGCACAGAAACTAAAAAAAGTTGGTATCTTACAAGTAATTAGAATGTTTTATCTGAACTAGGGTGGCAGAGTTTTTATCAATTATTACAATAGATTTTGTTTTTTTTATTTTGAAATATGATTATAGATTTTCTCCTTTTAATTTTTTCTTTTTAAATTATGTTTAGGTACTGAACTTGTTGAAGTATTTAGTGATAGATAACAAGGATAATGAAAACCTCTATCTCACAATTAAGCTTTTAGATCCTTTTCCTGACCACGTTCTTTTTAAGGATTTGCGTATTACTCAGCAGAGTATCAAATACAGTAGAGGGCCTTTTTCACTTTTGGAGGTAATAAAAGTTTCATCTTCTTACTATTTGGTATTAGAAAGCATAAAGAKTAGTACTTAAAAATCTCTAATGTTCTAGTGGTAAAAATTGAATTTTTTGTTGTGGTAAAAAGACATGAGATTACCTTCTTAACAAATAAAAAATGAATCTTAATGCATTGTTTTGCATTGAGCTTAAAGTATTGATACCAAAGTCTCCTGGTAAAGAATGAATTTGAATATTTAAGGTATGTGATATAAAAATATTCTTGATTTTAACACACACATAAACTTATGGTCAAGACTGGGGATGTGGCTTAATGGAAGTGTGCTTAACTAGCATAGTCAAGGTCATAGATTGAGTCCTCAGCACTGGAAATTTAAAAAAAAAATCTTTAAGATAGTCTAGTCCATTAATAACTTAAAATCACCATCTSATCCTTTGAGGGTCAGTTTTATATTTGCATTAGAGATAATATTTAACTTTTTAAAGAGTATTTCAATTTTTAATCTTGATAAACTTCAAAACTGTGTCCAGGTGTATTTTTTTCTTATAAATCTTAGTATAATTTTAAACTTATAGCCTGTATTTTACTATATATAAATATGAAAACAACATATAAAATTACCATACAGAAATTCAAATTTTTTCCTCTGATCTGTGTTATAATAGAATCTATTAGAATTTAAAGGATTAAAACATTATAGAATTTGAAGTGAAAGAACTTTATTTCTACTTTGGTTTATGAGTTATCATCTTTAAAAGGCACTTAACAATTTTTTTCTTTTATTAAGTTTTATTCTATAGACTTATCCAGTAAATGTTAAAAGCATGTAACATTTTAACTAATTTTCTCTTTTAGGAAATTAACCATTTTCTTGCAGTAAGTGATTATGATGCGCTTCCATTGACAAGGCTTGAAGGATTAAAGGATCTTCGAAGACAACTAGAACAACATAAAGATCAGATGATGGACCTTATGAGAGCATCTCAGGGTACTAATTTAAATGTCATGAGTTATTTCTACCTATTTCTTTTTGAAAGAATCTTATAAGTTCCTCTTTGTTTGCCATAGCCATATTTCAGCCCTTCATCATTTCTCATCTAACCATGAAATTGGTCCTAACTAGTCTCCTACTGTGAACTATTCTCATTTAATCTATCCTCTGAAAGAATGATTTTTTTGTTATTTGTTTTGGTGTCAGGGATTAAACCCAGGGCCTCTTAGTCACTGAACCATATCCCCAGCCTTTTTTAATTCTTTATTTTGAGACTCATAAGTTGCTGAGGCTAAGTTTGAACTTGGCAATCTTCCTGCCTTAGCCTCCTAAGCCACTGGGATTATAAGAGTGCACCACCATGYCCAGCTCTGTATGATTTCTTTAACTCAAATATGATCATGTTAGTCTACTACTTTAGAAACTTTAACAACTTCCTACTGCCCAAAAGAAAAGTTTTAAATCTTTACAGCCAAGCCTACAGGGTAGTATATCTGTGCCTTGTGCTTAAACCTACTTAAATGAAAGAAATGTGCCTCATTTTAAGCCTTTAAGCTGTGTGTGTTGTGTGTATGTATACATGTTCTTATACATATTTCTACCCTTTTTTTTTTACTCAAGAAAACATCTATTTTTATATTATTTTGATTGAGTTTATGTTATTATGGTATTACACTAAAGAGAAAACTTTTGTACTTGGTTATGATTTTTGTCTTCCTGTACCCATTAATTTCATATTTCTCTTGTATCCTTTTTATCTTTAGTACTTTTTAAAACAGATTTTAGTTTTGACCATTTGAGCTCAGAGTGCATTGTTCTGAGATATGTAAAATATGAATACTATTAAATCTTGTTCTCCTGTGTTTATTTTATTGGCTAGATTTGTGTTATGTAATAAAATCAGTAGAGGTTGGTGGCTATTTAAATTTAAATGGATTAAAATTAGGGAAAATATAAAATTGAGTTTTTTCATTGTATTAACACACTAAGTTGTCACAAGTATATGTAGCTAGTGGATGTCATTCAACAGCACAGATTATAGTCATTTCCATCATTGTCGAAAGATCTGCTGGATAGTGCTGGTCTAGATTCTAAATGCTAAATGTTAAAAATCTAAGGTTTCCAAGGTTCCTTTTAGCTTTAGTGTTGGGTGATTCTTATGTTTTTGATTATTTGCTATTTTGCTAAGTTAATATAGACTTTTCTACACAAGTTTTTGATGAGAGTTTTCCTGCCAAATATTAAATCACTTTCATATAACGGTGTTTCTTGAAAAATTCAAATTCATACACTATGTATTTTTGAGCTGTTCATAATGTAAGACATTTTTAAAAGTTTATTAAAAATTTCTCATGAGGTAATTTAATGTCTATCCATATTGTAAATAAGAATATTGTGACTATGGCCATTTAAGCGAATGTTTTTGAAATTACTCCTAGATAACCCACAAGATGGCATTGTGGTAAAGCTAGTTGTCAGCTTGTTGCAGTTATCCAAGATGGCAGTAAACCACACTGGTGAAAGAGAAGTTTTAGGTAAACTATGTATTTGAATGAATGTGAGTTTTTTATGTTCAAGTGGTCATCTTTAATATCCTCAAAATAAGTGAAAGTTTGTCATTTGGATTATTATGGAAATATGAGATGCTAGCCAACATATTTTTGCATTTAAATTCAGGTATCCCCACGTAGCTGCCTGTTCATATTTTTCTTCCTTAAATATTCATATAAAATGAAAAGTTAATGATTTACATTTGTGAATACTATTAGTTTGAAAATGCCATATAAATATTTAGGAAAGTTGGAAAGTTAAGTTGCAAAAAAATTGACCTCTGAAATATTTTTCTAACTRTCTATAATTCAGTATCATTTTCTATAACAAATGAGAATGAAAATTTTAAGAGCTAGGTTACACTCAAATATTAAGTCCTTTCCTACTGCCATTTGAGGAGAAATCTAACATATGATAGCCAACATTGTGTCTAGTATAGGTGTTTAAAATTGGTTATCCTAGGATGGAAAATCACATGTTTAAAGTAAGCTTGAAATTGTCATGACAGCCTTTCTTCAGTAACGAAATGAGGAGAATAAAATGACAATAAGAATAATAAAAATGAGAATAAGTGGTGTTTATGGATTCTTGTGCCTTTCAGTATTGTCTTTTTTAATTTCTCAGTGGGAGCCTATGATTTCTAGTATATGTCTTTTTTTTTTTTTTTTTTTTGGTGCCAGGGATCAAATCTAAGGGCACTTAAGCACTGAGCCATATTCCCAGCCCACCCCCCCTTTAAAATTTTTTTTAGTTATAGGTGGACACAATATATTTATTTATTTCTTTATTTTTATATGGTGCTGAGGATTGAACCCAGTGCCTCACACATGCCAGGCAAGTGCTCTACTAGCCCAGCCCCTTGGTAGATTTTTTTTTAATTGAAATATATCTACATATAGAGAAGTATACAGATTCTAGATATGTAGCTTAAAGAAGTTAACAAGAGTATACTTGTGCATCTATCACCCAAACCAAGAAACAGAGCCTTAAAAGAACTCTAGAAGCTTTCTGTACCCAGGGATCTATCCCTGACTACAGCACTGCTTCTAGGGATAAATGTAATTTGCTATAGGAGTCCTAAGTGGACTTTTATGAGTAGGAAAATTACAGTAGTTTGTATATGTTATTAACATCATACTCAGGGGTGAAAGAATGAACGCTTTCCCCTAATATCAGGAGCAAAACAAGATTTTTCACTTTTACTCCTGTTATTCAACATTATGCAGAAAGTTCTGGCCAGAACAATTAGACAAGAAAAAGAAATTTAAAGCATCCACATTGGAAAAGGGAACTTTATTTATATATTTTTTTATCCTATATATAAAAAAATCCTAGGGAATCAGTAGAAAGCTACTATAGAGCTTATAAACAAATTCATAAAAGTTGCCAGGTATAAGATCAACATATAAAAATCATGTKTGTTTGCAGGTGGGCATTTTGGTACACACCTGCAATCCCAGCTGCTTTGTAGACTGAAGTTAGGGGATTACTTGAGCATAGGAATTTGAGAATAGCCTAGGCAACATATCAAGAGTCCAAAAAAAGAAAAAAATTAGTTTTTTTTTATAACTAGGAATGAGCAACCTAAAAAGGAAATCAAGATAGCAATCCCATTTAGAATAGCATTTWAAAAAAARAATACCTAGGGATAAATATAATCAAAAAGGTGAAAGACATATACACATTCTTTTTGTTAGAAATGAATCACTAAGTGTAGCCTACAATCAAGGGGAAGGGGAATTAAGCTTCACTTTTGAAATAGAGACTCTCAGAATATTTGTTGAATTTATTTATTTATAAAAATTTATTTATTTTAGTAAATACCACCATAACTTGAGAGTAGGATGAGTCATCTAGAATGCTGAAAACATTCTGTCTTCATGTAGGCAGTGATAACACAAATGGACAAAATTAAATAATTTTCACTGAATTGTGTGTTTTAAGATTTATGGACTTTATATATGGGAAACCTCAAGAAATTTTTGAGTTTTAGGATTATTGTACCCATACAATGCCATGTTTAGATTTTTATTCTTAGTATCTGTATTCTCTTACTAATTAATGTCTCCTGGAAGTGATTCCGTAGGGAAAAATATCTCTTGCCTACATGGATGATAAGTAAAGGAAATTATATAGTATTTTGTAGCTCCTTATAATCTCCTCATGATCTTTGAAAACACASTTAAATCTTGAAACATGTAACTCTACTGAAATGGAATTTCTGTATCTAGAGGCTGTTGGAAGCTGTTTGGGAGAAGTTGGTCCTATAGATTTTTCTACCATAGCTATACAACATAGCAAAGATACATCTTATACCAAGGCCCTTGAGTTATTTGAAGATAAGGAACTTCAGTGGACATTAGTAGTGTTGATCTACCTGAATAATACATTGGTAGAAGAATGGTGAGTATTTCTGTACCTCTTACATCTGATCATACTGACTTAATCTGACATTAAAGTACACTTCATGTAAATTTTCATTTCCAATAACTAAGGCATTTAAATTCTTAAGCTTTTTAAACGTCTCATGTATTTCTTGAAAAGCATTGTATTTTTATTAATTTATATAATCATTGACCTTACTATGTACCAAGATCTTAATGCAGTGATCAAGATTCCAGATAAGAACTGTGTTAAAATCTACTGAGAGTGCATCAGGCAAATGGAGAAAGACCAGGTAGTTCCACAAAGACAATTAAAGTAGAATTTAAAAGGTGACATTTCAGGCACTTGTCCAAATCAGAGGTGCTTCCATCTTTAGTCTGAGCTTCATTCTGGTCTTAGAGCAAAAGCTTCATAACCACTCAAATTTTACACTAATCAGACAAAATCTTTTGGTTTTCATTTTTTTTAATATTCAGTTTTTAGTTGTAGTTTGACACAATATCTTTATTTATTTATTTTTGTGGRTGCTGAGGATCGAACCCAGGGCCTCGCACATGCTAGGYGAGTGCTCTACTGCTGAGCCACAACCCCAGCCCTTGTTTTCCATTTGTTCTCTGTGCAAAACAGATTGCAAAATATTATGAATGTTTCAGTTTATTGGTTATGAGACTAAATCCCTACCCCATTATTTATTCTTTGACTGATTTATTCCATCACCACCAGTTTGGGAGTTAAGTTAAAAAGATATTTCCTCCAAACAGGCATTTTTCTGTGTTAAATGTGTTTTGATTTTGTTTCTCTACCTTTCTCCTCCTCATCCTGCCTGCTGTGTTTGTAGTATGGACTCAGTGGACTAATATTTTTCTTTTGTTATTTCTTTGCTTTAAATAGGCTGACATGGTTTCTTTCCCACATTTTATTATAAAAATGGTCAAACATGCACCAAAGTTGAAAGAATTTTAAATACTCATGTACTCACTTTATAAATTCTAACCATTCTTCTTGTTCATTTATTAATCCATGTCATTTTAAAAACGTTCCATACATAACTTTGAAAGTATTTCTGGCACAGTTTTTGAAGGGAGATTTTTCTGTAGGAAATTTGTAAGTATTGATTTATTTGTTTTTCTGAAAAAGATTCATAGATATTAGCATGGCTTAATAGGGAACAGGTAAATGTTTTTTTGTCTTTCTATAGGAGGGGGAAAAAAAATCATTAGTTGTTGAAGGGACTTTAGCATATACCTTGAATCCCAAAATAGCTGATTCAGTAAGGTTTCTTTGAGGAAGTACCATTGGATCTAATCTGAGGATCAGGAGTAAACAATAAGATAATTAAGGATAAAGCATCCAAACAGGTAATGCTAGAATACAGATAAGGTTGGTCTATTGGAGGAACAGAAAGAAGCCTGGTATGGGGACTAACTCTAATTAAGAAATTTGAATTTTATTTCAAGTATATTAAGGAGCCATGGGTTTTTAGTAGAGTTGGATCATAATTCAGCTTACATTTTTTATTCTGGTTTTTATATGTCAGATGGATTTCAAAGGCAAAATTGCAAACAGGAAAATCAATTAAGAAATGATTACAGTAATGCATTGGAGAAATGATGATGATTTGGGTGTCATTAATGGAGATGAAAGACATGGATGGAACCAGGCTATGTTTTGAACATAGAGCCAGTGGGATTTACTGATGAATTGGATATGGAGAAATCAAGACAGAATTTAGGTCTTGGGTGTTTCCTATGGGGTGTGTGTGTGTGTGTGTGTGTGTGTGTGTGTGTGTGTGTTGTTTTGTTTTTTTGCTCATTTGTTTTGTTCTCCTTGTTGAACTCAGAGCCTGTGCTAGACAAATGTTCTCGCCCTGAGCTTTACAGTTATTACTAGTAGTTGGATTTATCCAACTCAAACATGCATGGAAATCTATTTCAGTTCATGATCCCCCCTTTTTTCTTTCTTCTTTCCCTCCACTCTTTTCCTCTACTCTAATAGATTTTCTTTTACTTTTCTATTAATTTGTATTTGATTGGTTCTTTGTTATCCTATCTTTCCCTTCTTTCCTTTATTTTACTACAGCTTCTGCATATAAGAGAAAATATTTAGCCTTTGAGTTTCTGAGTTTATTTAATTTCATTTGGCATGATATTCTCCATATCCATCTATTTACCAGCAAATGCCATAATTTCATTCTTTGTTATGGCTGAGTGGGACTCCATTGTATAGATATACTACAATTTCTCAATCCATTTGTCTATTAATGGGCATCTGGATTGATTCCATAATTTAGCTGTTGTGAATTGTGCTGCTGTAATTATTGAGGTGGGTGTATTAATGTAGTATGCCAATTTTAGATTGTTTTAGAAAATACCAAGGAGTAGGATAGCTGGGGCATATGGTGGTTCCATCCCTAGTTTTTTGAGGAATTGCCCTTACTTTTTTCCAGAGTAGTTGTACTAGTCTACAGTCCTACCAGTGATGTGTACCTTTTTCCCCTCAACCTTGTCAGCATTTACTGTTGTTTATATTCCAGATCATTGCCCTTCTGACAGAAAGGCGATGAAATATTACTGTGATTTTTTTTTTCATTTGTTCTAATGACAGCAGAATGCATTTTGATTCATTGTACACCAATGGAGTACAACTTTTCATTTTTCTGGTTGTACACGATGTTAATCACACCATTTGTGTRATTATACATGTACCTAGGGTAATGATATTTGTCTCACTCTACCATCTTTCCCATGGCCCCTCTCTTTCCTTCTGCTCAATCCAAAGTTCCTCCATTCTTCCCATGCCCCACTCCCATTTTGGATCAACATCAACTTGCCAGAGAAAACATTTAGCTGTTGGTTTTTTGGGCTTGGCTTACTTTTCTTAGCATGATATTCTCCAACTTTATCCATWTACTTGCAAATGTGATAATTTCATTCTTTGTTAATGCTAAATAGTATTCCATTGTGTATGTATACCACAGTTTCTTTATCTGTTCATCTATTGAAGGGCATCTAGGTTGGTTCCACAGTTTAGCTATTTTGGTTTTTTTTTTTTTATTGTTGGTTGTTCAAAACATTACATAGTTCTTGATATATCATATTTCACAGTTTGATTCAAGTGGGTTATGAACTCCCATTTTTACCCTGTATACAGATTGCAGAATCACATCAGTTACACTTCCATTAATTTACATATTGCCATACTAGTGTCTGTTGTATTCTGCTACCTTTCCTATCCTCTACTATCCCCCCTCCCCTCCCCTCCCCTCTTCTCTCTCCACCCTCTCTACTATAATTCATTTCTCCCCCTTGTATTGTTTTTCCCTGTCCCCTCACTTCCTCTTGTATGTAATTTTGTATAGCCCTGAGGGTCTCCTTCCATTTCCATGCAATTTTCCTTCTCTCTCCCTTTCCCTCCCACCTCTCATCCCTCTTTAATGTTAATCTTCTTCTCATGCTCTTCGTCCCTACTCTGTTCTTAGTTACTCTCCTTATATCAAAGAAGACATTTGGCATTTGTTTTTTAGGGATTGGCTGGCTTCACTTAGCATAATCTCRGTCTATTCCCTAAAGACCTAAAAAGAGCATGCTACAGGGACACTGCTACATCGATGTTCATAGCAGCACAATTCACAATAGCAAGACTGTGGAACCAACCTAGATGCCCTTCAGTAGACGAATGGATAAAAAAAATGTGGCATTTATACACAATGGAGTATTACTCTGCATTAAAAAATGACAAAATCATAGAATTTGGAGGGAAATGGATGGCAGTTTAGCTATTTTGAATGGAGCATACTGTAGTATGCCAATTTAAGTCTTTTGGGTTTAGATTGAGGAATGGGATGGCTGAGTCAAATGGTGGTTCCATTCCAAGTTTTCTAAGGAATCTCCATACTGCTTTCCAGAGTGGTTGCACAATTTGCAGTGCCACCAGCAATGTATGAGTGTATCTTTTCCCCCACATCCTCACCAACACTTACTGTTGCTTGTATTCTTGATAATTGCCATTCTGACTGGAGTGAGATGCAATCTTAGAGTAATTTTGATTTGCATTTCTATAATTACTAGAGAAATTCAACATTTTTTTCATTGATACATTTTATATCTTCTTCTGAGAAGTGTCTGTTCAGTTCCTTAGCCCATATGTTGATTGGGTTATTAATTTTTTGGTGTTAAGTTTTTTGAGTTCTTTACATATCCTCGAGATTAGTGCTCTCTCTGAAGTGTGTGTAGTAAAAATGTTCTCCCACTCTGTGGGCACTTTCTTCAAGATATTGATTGTTTTGTTTGCTGAGAAGAACCTTTCAAATTTCAATCCATCCCATTTATTAATTCTTGATTTTATTTCTTGCACTTTAGGAGTCYGATTAAGGAAGTCAAGATCTAATCCAACATGATGAAGATTAGGGCCTACTTTTTCTCCTATGAGGCACAGGGTCTCTGATCTAATTCCTAGGTCCTTGATCCACTCTGAGTTGAGTTCATGGTGAGAGGGGTTTAATTTTCATTTTGCTACATATGGTTTTTTCAGCTCTTCCCCCACCATATGCTGAAGAGGCTATCTTTTCACTAATGTATGTTTTCAGCTCCCTTGTCTAATATGAAATAACTGTATTTATGTGGGTTTGTCTCTGTGGGTACTATTCTATACCTTTTGTCTACATGTCTGTTTTGGTACCAATACCTTGCCATATTTGTTACTGTAGCTCTGTAGTATAGTCTAAGGTTGGTTATTGTGATGCTTCCTGCTTTGCTTTGGCTATTCTGGGTCTCATATTTTTTCGAAGGAATTTCATGATTGCTTTTTCTCTTTCTATGAGGAATTTTAAKTCTAATTAAAATCCCAACAACATTAAATTAAATCTGTATAATGCTTTTGGTAGTATGGCCATTTAGACAGTATTCTTCCTATCCAAGAATATGGGAGATCTTTCCATCTACTAAAGTCTTCTTCAATCTCTTTCTTTGGTGTTCTGTAGTTTTTATTTTAGTGATTTTTCATCTCTTTTGTTAGATTGA